AAGAATACTTTGCGACACCTAATATTTGGATTCAGAATTTTTTTTCACGATCGCAAATACTTTATTTCCCATACTTGGTACAGGTAAGTGAAAGTAATAATAACAACAGAGGCACGAGTCCAGCTCTTAAGTGATATTATCAAAATAACTTCAATATCACACGAATAATGATATTGATTAGTGTATTTATTGTACAATAATAATGTATAGTAGCATAATAAAAAAGGTGATAACAATTATAGTCATATATTAAGGATTCTAAGGAATTTGGAGGTCTAAAAGGTGGTCACAGATTCGTCAGAAAATTTTAAAACGTATTATTAAACAAATTTAAACAATTATAATTCTTCACTATCATATCCAAAGGAAGTATTTAAGGCAACGGTATTCGAGATAAATGGATAGCAACGGAAATTAAGCTATTAAAAAAAATGTATACAACAAAGTTACAAACTAAGATAAAAAAAATACGAAATAAATTCACCTTCTGGCAGGCTACCTAACCACAGAGCTGCTGGGCCGAATCATAGCAACACTACAATCTCTAGGAGCTGAATCATACAGAGATTTCATAGGAATCGCTTATTCAATAGGGAGCTCTATGGGATAATTATAGGGGGCTTTTGTGGTAAATAAACTTTTCACGAAGGACATAAAATGAACTAGTGAGAACTGGTTGTTGGTATCTCGTTTAACCGCAAACTTACAACACGGCACTCTCAATTACACCTAATCAGACTAATGGTGTCAACAACAAATCAAGAATTTCAAATACAATAATTGAAATTTATCAATATTTAATTGAAATATTCTAATTTTATATATATATATATATATTTATATATATATATATATATATATATATATATATATATATATATATATATATATATATATATATATATAATTGAGCGAACCTCCAGCTTAAAAAAACTAAAACCACACATAACTTTAAACTACACGGTAGAAGTGAAAACATCAACAAGGCTAGATTACTAATATGAAATATAAATTATAAATAATAGCTCATTATATAAGGGATGATATTTTGAACATTTCCCTCATTTACAGTATGCAGTTACTATTTTTAGTTTCTGAGATATTTTAAGCCATATCTTCCGTACAACTTGTTATCATTTATTTTTCGACACTATTTTTTTCATTTTCGCCTCTCTAACACATTAGGAGACAATTTGAATATTTCCCTTGCTAGAAATATGCAGGTCCGATTCTTAGTTTTTGAGATATTTTAATCCATATGCAATTAGTCGACTCCAGCATACGTTACCCGAGCGTTACACATCGGAGATCTGACAGCTCAATCTAATTCAATCTCCACAAAAAAAAAAAAAAAAAAAAAAAAAAAAAAAAAAAAAAAAAAAAAAAAAAATGCAAAACGCACATAAATGAACAATTATTGATAAAGCATAACTGTCAAAAGTTTTTTGAGGTTTTTTTAAATAAAAAGGATCGAAAGCCATGCACTGTACAAACTATGAATGAGAGAAGAAAATTATTTTTAATCGATACAAATATACGCTTAAGGCGCTCACTAACACCGCTCTTGATGACTGAAGGTCACCAGGTAGATCCTAACTTAACAGGACTTCCGAGCCATCGAGGACTCGGAGTTCCGGTAATAGGCTGAACATTTCCCTCGTTCACAGTATGCAGGTACTATTTTTAGTATCTGAGATATTTTAATCCATATCTTCCATAAAACCCCTCATCATTTATTTTTCGACACTATCTATTCCTTTTAGCTTCTCTAACACGAGTTCACGTTAAGATCCAATTTTTAATATTAGCCAATTATACCTCAGAAAATTGGAGATACCCCTCCGTGGACAATTTCACCAATCAAAAATGAACGAGGGCTGAACAATCTCCCAAACAACACTACCCCAGAAGAAACTAGATATAGTTATCATAAAATTGTCCATAAATTATTCCATAATCATGACATAATTTTCACGGACGGTTCAAAATCAGAGAAAGGTGTAGGATGCTGTATAGTAACCCAAAACAATATAAAAAAATGGAAATTAAATAACAATAATTCAATTTTTACAAGTGAAACGTGGGCGATTCTCAAGGCATTTGAATACGTAATCGACACCAATATTGAGAAATCAGTAATTGTGACCGATTCCTTATCTGTAATCAAGGATAACTGCAAAATGCATGGACATGTAACACATTGCACAAAAAAGTTCAGCTAATGAACTTGAAACTAAATAAAAAAAGTCAAAAAATAATATTGTTTGGGGTACCCTCACAAATTGGCATAATTGGCAATGAACGAGCCGATGAGGGAGCAAAGGAAGCCGCCAGAAGCACAGATTCATGTTTTAGGATCGATGTTTCTCAACGAATGGACAAGGGAAATTTCAAAGAAAGCGAACGACAGTTGGAACGAACAGTGGAGATTACTGCCGCGCAATCACCTTCATCTGACCAAAGACGACAATCGAGCTTGGTATCCTCCAAAACACCTGACATCAAAAGTGTGTTCTATAATAAGCAGGCTCAGAATTGGACATACCAAACTGACCCACCTCCACCTACTTCTTGGCTTACATCGACCAACATGTGAGGTATGTGAAAATGCTAATCTGACAGTTGAACACATATTCCAGTGCAAAAAGTTCCGGACACACCAAATCGAACTCCAAATTGAAGACAAAGCACCGTACAAGGAAAACACTGGTATTGAAAAAACGCTGAAGTACATCCGAAAAATAAAATTGATAAGTTATATTTAAGAAGAACGATCGTCGCTAATGACCTTGGCAGTCGATGCGACGTTAAATAACAGCAAATAAAAAAAAAAAAACTTTTACTGTAAAACTACAAGAGAACGGTTAAATAGCCATCATTTCAATAAGCCAAATAAATATTTTCATGTTTACGTTTAATCCATTGAGTTCTACCTATGGGTAGTTTCTCTTCATGTTGTACATGTCATGTTACCAATGTCACATTTACTTGTTGTATTTTTTCATTACTGATCTAAAGGCAGTAAATTCCTGTTTTTATTGTTAACAATATAAGTTGCAAGGTCGATGGAAAATCCAGAACATTTCTGGCATGTGTTCTTGCTTCTTAATAAGGATTTTATATTTTTATAAAAATTAAATATAATGTAAAATAACGGCCATTTTTTGCTCAATTTATTATTATTATCATTATTATTTATTTTGTAATACAATTTTTCAGTAATAAATCTATTGGTAGTTTCACCTATAATGATTTTTCAACGTGTAATAATTTAAACATGAATTATTACGGCTTTTGCGTTTTATTTTATTTTTAATTTAAAATAAAATTTGTTTAAAATTTTATCGGCAGTCAACAGTAAGTGAACTTAATGTGAAATAGAAAAGAATATTTCTTTAAAACAAACCAAATAAAGTATATTTTTATTTTAAATCTTTCTCTATTCGTGATCTATGGAACTTATACAATATTCGAGAAAAATCAAACAATTTAATCATTTCGAGTTCAACGACATCATACTAGCAATGCAGAGATTACATTAGTCACCCGAATAGAGAGCATTACCTGGTACGACAAATTGGCAGCAATTGACTCTGATGAGAACCCCGTTATTATAATTATCATCCCACGAATTAGGCGGTACATAGGGATGAGGAGCCCAGAAATCCCCAAAAGTAATCCGCACAACGCTATGACACCGTGTGTTTACATGGAACAGCTGATAACTGCAGATTGAGTGGCGTTCTCGGAACGGCCGTGGGAAGGCCTTACTAAATTGTGCCCTAACAATCCGCACGTGACCCACTACTGCCAGTTAGTAGTTTAGTAATCTGTCACTCTACATTGTTTGTAACTATCTTTAGCTTCCTAGTGTCAACAAAACACCTCATTCGTCAACAGAATCGAAAGTAGTTTCTTCATCAAATATTTCAGTGGCACACTTTCAGTAAGTTGAATAATATGCAACTTGTGAGTACTTACAAACCGAATATATAAAACAATATTTAACATTTAGGTTGTATGTTTCGTCGGTAACAACGATATCCCTAATTAAATTTTCACTGAATAAAAAGCTAACATTATCCATAATTTTTTCTGGGTCCATAACTCCTTTTTCCATATGTTGAACTTCAAAGAGCGCATCATTCCCGCTCGGTCATTTGTTCTGCTTCGAAATCTGCTCTTCAATCTCTGCTAGATCCTTATACTAAACATTCTCTAATTACAGAAAGAAAATTAAATTTGAAAATATTGAAAGCCACAGATTGTTTTGGTGGCTGCCTGGACACTATGGAATTTTAGGAAACGAAAAGGCAGATTCACAAGCAAGACTAACGATAAAAAGCGGCCAAATGGCCAAAAAGCGGCTACAACTCCGATGGCTGGACTGACAAATTGAATGGTTCAATATGAGGGAGAATAAACTACGCATGATACGTAAAACGTCCCAACCTAAATTTAAAGTTAATCTAAAGTTGAGGAGGAGATTCTTAACTGTCTCAGGATTGGCCATAACCGTTTCACCTATTTGATGATAAAAAGATAATACGCCAACATATACCAACTTTGGATGTATTACAATACAATACGTCCAAATAGAATTGAAGGTTATCTACCTATGATAAAGGTTTGTTGTGCTTCTCAGTGTTTTATATTTTTCAAGTTTGTTCTGTTAGTTTTGTTGTAACGTTTTCTATTGTTTGTGTTATTTTAGTCTTTTAAAGTTTTTTGAACATGGCTTAGTTTTATTTTATGTTGATTTAGATAATTTTAAGATTAACCTAGTGGTTTCCACGAAGGTTTTATCAAATCAAAAGGAAACGTTAAGGGACTATTACGTTGGTGGAACACTAAGTTAATATTAAAGTCTTGCTTTTGAAGATACGAAATTTGTAAGTTGTTCGAACTTAGGTTAGATTTTTAGCAGTAAATACATTTTCTTTTACTGCTGTTTCCCCGTTATTTCAACGGATAAAGTTGTTAATTTTGGGTTGCATAAGATGGCTGATGACATTGTATCAGCAATGGAGCAGGAAATGGTGGAAGAACAAGCGATAATGTGCCCAATGACTTCAGCAAAGAGGCAAAGGAAAGGATCTCCTGACTCCCTAGAAGAATCAGATAAGGAACGTGTAGACCTTAGTCTTCTGCAAGATACCCGCAGAATCATAGAAAATATCAGAGTCTACATGAACGCAACAGACAGGAACGTGACTGCGAAGGTAAACATGTTAATGGAAAAATTCAACAATTATTAGAAATAATGGATAAAATACATGATAAAAAGCGTGAAAAGATGTTTTTAATACAACGCGTTTTTAGGGACACATTAGCATCCTCGGAAATTTATGATGTCATACTAAATGCGTTAGTGAGAAAAGCAGCATCTTTGGTTATCGAGGGAATCAAGACGGAATGGAAAACTATACAAAGACCACTGCCGAAACCTCAGACATCTCGGGAGTTTCCAAGCGTAAGAGAAAAACCGTAATTGGCCGATGCCTTAATTGAGACCACGGAAAATTAAAGTTTCCAGAAAATTAAGAAAAAAGGCTCTTCCACAAGTGGCCAAAGAGAGTGAGGACTCTACCTATGGTTGAGGTAAGTTTGGCCAAGAAAATATCTACAAATAAGACTACGATGGCTGGTATTGTCAAAGGGCTTCCGATGGATACTGCAAAACCACTATTGTTGATATCATCACCAACCTGCCTTCTCCAACTGAACTAGGAGTCAGGCCGAGGGTTGTACGGGCGACTAATGCTGGTTCAGTTTTAGTTTGTTTAGATGAGGATACCCATGCGAAAAAAATAATTGAGTGGCATAAACCAAAATAAGTTGCAATGGAGGCAAAACTAGCCTTAAATAGAAAACCAAAAGTGGGGGTAAAAGGAGTTCTCCTTTCGTGGACTGCGGGATCTAGAAAGGGCACTAGTATCAAGAAATAAAGATTGGCTATAATATGCTAAAGGCTAGTAATAGGGTAACAGGTATGGATGACCCTTCATAACCAGGTTCTCTTCCCTTCTCTCTTTATTTTATTTGTATTGACTTGTTAATAAAACTTGTTTATAAATAAACTTAAGTGTTTAATAAATTACAATCAAAAACTACTTTGATTATTATTGAACTGACTGTAAGGCAAATGATTAAGTATGAAAAGATTGAGATTAAAGGACATAATTAAAAAATGGATAAACTTGCAGTGGAAAAATGGAAAAATAAAATTGTAGAAAAACTCACCAATTTGAAATTGTTTAGATAAATGTTTCTTATTTTTTTTAATGAAAACATTATAGTGACGGGGATTAACTTAATATTAAAGTATTTTTGATCAATATCATTCCTATAATCAAAAGGAATATATGTAAAAGTACTGTATTGTGCATTATGACATACGGATGAATCTAATGGCAACGGAAATAAATTACAGGCAAGAATAACCAGATTAGATAAAATAAAAAATTGAATAAATCAAGAAAAGATTGAGAAAAAAAAATTATTCCCAAAAAGATCGAAAAAAAAGTTGTATGGACATTTAAAAAAAGAGATTGTCGATGTTTACTTATGGAAAATTAGTGGAAGAAGACAAAGTCGGCTAAGAAAAACATGGAATTAACGAACATAAGATTCTATGATGGGACATAGGTTTGAAGAAGAATGGACTCTAGATCGAAAAATACGGAAAGAGCCCGTAGAAAAATAGTTAAGGAGAGCTAATGTTTTATTAAGGAAAAAATACAAATTCGACTTTAAAATTTGTTAAGTTCTATTCAAACATTCACCTTACGTTATTTCTGTCATCCAGTTCATCACAAATACTACAGAAATAATGAGGAAGGTGAACATCTGGCGATGATGAGGTCAAATAATGGAGATGGGATCGTGAACCCGGAGGAGAGCTGAGAGCAGTGGACTACAGTAATGCAGCCGGGTCACGGTCTTGGTTCAATGCATCTCCGCCCTCTGCTTACATTGTTCCTAAGTACTCATAACTACACAACTTCATAACTTTATCAAGCTACGGTTACAAGGCTTTGCTAAGTTTATTTAATTGGTGATGGAAGTCTTCTTCCGAAACTCAGAAGAGTTAAAAAAATGATAAGCGGTTATGTTTTTACTTAGATGTAGTTCACCAAATGTATCATATTTATGCATATCATATCACATATGAGAATGTACGTATAAATAGTTCCTTTTATTTATTTTACTTTTTTTTTTTTCCATTACACCACAAGTATCCTAAGATTTTATTTTATCTTAGTGTCTGCATATTATTATATAAACCACTGTAGATATTATTACATTTTGTATTAAGTTAGTTTTCTATTAGATAGCCTATTGTTTATAAATTGTGTAGTTATGTATATATAAATATGTAATTTCTCTTCTTTTTTTTTTTCATCACAATTAAGTAATTTTAAGAAGATTTTATGTTCAGTTGTATATATATTTTATTTTTTATTTTTCACTGGTTACATACTTTTTAAATAATGTATATAATATTAAAATTTTTATAAGTTAGTTTCTGGCCAGATTTGTACTTTACTTTGTATTAACTCATCATTGTTATTCTAAAGGGACTTAGTCCCAGAATAAAGTTTAATTTTCTATTCTATTCTATTCTATTTAGAAGACAGTATTAAGAAATGGGGCTACTAACTTTTCTATATAAATAAATTAAGAATTTTTATATGTTTTTACTATCGTCCCTGAGTGAGAGAGCAAGCATTATTATTTAATAGAAAAAATATATTCAAGAAGATATGCAATATGTTAAAATGGGGGTCATGTCCTATCTATTTTGGAGGGGATGCTCCTGTTAAATCAAAATTTAATCGAAAATTACCCTTAAAAGTTAAAAACTATTCTTCTTTTCCAGGATTTCATTAACTTAAATAGACCGAAGACCACCTCTTAAAATTCGTTCTTCATGGTTCCGTCCCGTATTCTAGACACTATACGACGGTAATATTTATAATGAGATTTGTTAAAAACTAGGTAAATAACAACAAACACGAAAATTCTGAAACAGGAAGGGTTTTTATTAAATGATCTACGTATTAAAATATTTGATAGAAAAATCCTCCGCATGATAACCGGAGCCTACCAACACATGGATGAAAAAAACCAATAAAGCTTACAGAAACTGTTCAAGCGATATCTTACGATATGAAGGCAAGGAGATTAAGATGGGCTGGGAATTTAGCTCGGAGCAATCCATCAGGTAGACTCTACACAACAATGAATGCCTTAATAGTAGGTATGAGACCACGCAGAAGGCCAAAAAACAGATCGATACGTCGTATAAAAAAAGATGCAATTCTTTCATGTGATCTGCAAGTAGCCCTATTGCATCTTGGTGTTAGTTGTTATTTAACTACCTTTTAACAAATCTCATTATCAATATTACCGTGCCTAGAATGAGAAAGAACGAATTTTAAGAGGTGGTCTTCGGACTACTTAAGTTAAAGAAATCCTGGAAATAGTTTTTAACTTTTGAGGGTTTTACTAACGCTGGAGAAGTTAGGTGAAATTTTCGATTAAATTTTGATTGAACAGGGGTATCCCCTCCAAAATAGACAGGACATGACCCCCATCTCCCAAGAAATTTTATTGCTCTACTTGACGGTGAAAGTGAATGCAAAATTAGAAAAAAAGTACCATGCCGATTCTTGCGTTGGCCTCTTTCATACTATACTTTCATAACCGTTGTCTGATTTAAAATTCCCTCCAAATTATAACCCTCGACAAATATTGTTTCCTCCAAAAGTTCATAACCTCTCAAAATTTGCCAACCTCACGGAAATGTCAGACCGTCCAGCGCCCCTCTGGATTTCAGTAATTATACTGATATAAAATTATACACTAATTATACTTATATAAATTCTAATATATTGATGTTGTTATTTTTCAAAATACATTTGATCTTATAATTTAAAAAATATAATTATGTGATGCAATTTTAATATGTTTTTTAGCAATAAAATAGTTGAAACATCAATTTTATTGCTTAAGAACATATTAAAATTGCATTATATAATTATATTTATTAAAATTATAAGATCAAATGTATTTTGAAAAAAAAACAACAACAATATAACGCAAGTTTATGTGAATTTATACTAGACAAATATCAACACAAAAATAAACTAACGTCCCAGTGTATACAAAACCGAAAGTAAAAATTTAAGTTTAGTGGCAATACTTAAGTATTAAAATCTATGAAGTATTTTGTATTAAAAATTTTAAACACATTTTATTCAAAACGATTGCCAAAGTATTCTTCTTTCTTATATAAATCTGATATTACAATGCGCAGAAATAATTATCTATGATCAACTGAACAGTGCCATCGATAATTTATCACTATATGTTTCGTAATTATTTACATTTATAAAGTTCGCAGATGAAATGTATTTATGTGTAAAAATAACCACGCATATCATAACGTACTTAATCATATATACGATATTTATAAGGCTTAAGATCTCTGGAGGCTAGGATATTCCAAGGCGTCAATAATATTAATAATATGCTTATACGACTTAAGGTCAACATTGCATACACACTTATCTGCGGTTTTATATAAATGGCCATTTGTTATAACTTATTTATTTTCAGCTAGTCTGGATCATTTAAATAGTAAAGAATATTATTAAACGTGAAACCATTCCATATTCCAATGCAGTTTCTTTAATATTTATTCTAAATTCTTTTTGGATAGGTGATAAAATAAATATTTTATTGAAAATATTTATTGAAATTATTTTCCCAAGTAAACATCTTATAAGTATAAAATATATAACAACACGTAAGAATGTCACTTTATCTGAAAATGTGGACAAAGATTAGTTTCATTTATGCATTATAATTTTAACATTTTATTTTATTATTATACAGTTGGTGAGGTGGTGAAAGTGAAGATCAGAATTATTATAAAGACTCTTTTTATTATTATAGTAGTTTCTTAATTATTAATTTGATTATTACAATGAAAGTTCGTAGTCTATATACTTATAATTTGCATACTTTCTTATGTTTTATTTTTTTTGTCTTCTATATGTTATTTAATATTAAATTTTCATATATTCTATTCTCATGTATATCAATTATCTATTACACCTAAATAATACCAGTTAGCGGAGCAACAATGTTTCATGAAAAAGACCCTTTTCATACAACCACTAATGTATAAAACTTTAATTATGATTAAAAAGCAGAACAAAGTTTTTGCTAATTAAAATATAATAATCACTCATTACATTCAAGTCAGTGATTAATTTATTCGATTATTAAATTCATATTTCCAGCCCTATTTCCCACTACGGCTGGTCACCGCGGGAAGTTAGACAATATCCCCTTAAAAAAAACATAAAAACTAAATTTATTATTACCTGAGTAAAGAATTCTCTAGTATTTAATATATCACTTAAAAATTTAGGTGAAGGTTTGCAAAAAAGTTTAGCCATAATTTTTTCGACACTTTCA